TGTCACCCCCTCCAGCCCCTACACCCCCTCCCTATCTCTGTCACCCCTATCAGCCCCTACATCCCTTCCCTATCTCTGTCACCCCCTCCAGCCCCTGCACCCCCTCCCTATCTCTGTTGACCCTTCCAGCCCCTATACCCCCTCCCTATCTCTGTAACAGCCTCCAGCGCCTACACCCCCTCCCTATCTCTGTAACAGCCTCCAGCGCCTACACCCCTTCCCTATCTCTGTCATCTTCTCCAATACCAGTCTCTTGACCATCCCCTGATATCCACTGCTCCACCATTGGCAGCTGTGCCTGTCGCTGCCTGCAGTCCCACGTTTGGAAGCTCCGGAAGACCATAGGGAATAGGAACTGCAGTTGACCATTCTCTCACTGAATAAGATAATTCTGATGTAACAGTCCTCAGGTTCACTAATATCCTTTAGGGAAGGAAACTGCTATCCTTACCTTGTCTGGCCTACATGTCACTCCAGACCCACAGCAATGTGGTTGACTCTTAATTGCCCTCTGGGCAATTAGGGATGGGCAATAAATGTTGCCTGGTCAGTGACACCCTCATCCTGTGGATGAATAAAGGAAAAAAAACTTCCTGCCCTTTTCCCATAACCCTCAATTCCCTAACTGATCAAGATTTTCTCTTTCTCAGCATTAAATTCCCTTGCTAACCCTCTCCACCTCTCTTCTGTCTTTCAAGACATTCCTTAAAACTGACCCTTTGGCCAAGAAAGCTCTCATTGAAATATCTCTGAACGTGGCCCAATGGGAGATTTTGCTGGCTACTGCCTGTCTTTGTCTCTTTTACTCCCTTAATGATACCTGATAAATGCAAGTGTCGTAGAGCAACCCATGTTTTATCAGAAAATTTTTGGATAAATTCTTAAGGTTCTTAGATCCTGCTTTCAGACTTTTATTTCAGAATTGTCTTATTCACTTTATGGCTACATCTTATCATTTGACAGCACAGCTACAGAGAGCCTACTACAGTGTACATTGCACAGTGTCCCATTCTCGGGAACATCCCATCTTTATCCTTTTAACCTCTTCCTCAGGCTGAGGGCAGCCATTTCAGTCATACCATTTGGTCATCCAGGCAGGCGTTTTGATTGTTGGAAAGGCTTCAGGCCCTTGCTGTAGGTATATTCAGGGGTTTCCCATCAGCTGCAGGATGGTATTAGATACTGAGAGAATTGAGACTAAAACCCAGGAGAAAGGTCATGGGTGTGGGGTAGTGGAGGGGAAGAGTTTAACAAAAGCATTATGAGTTTTCTTCAATGTCTTTGAGCAATTCTGTTTATTATTTACACAGATATCAGAGTTGGGCAATGGTAGGTGTTTTTTTTTGAGATGTCCTGAATAGATACGCTCCGGGAATGGGTGAACCAGAGTAAGGGAGCCATCCAGGTCACTGATCACAGTGCTGCTATCTGAACCTGGTGAAAGGTCTGGCGCTAGCTGCTCAGAGCTGAGGGTTAATCCTGACTAAAGCCTGGGTAAGGATAAAACAGATCTCTGCCAAGTGAGGGACCTTATGCATTGGCCTGAAGCAGTGCGATTGAGACTGAGGAGAGAGCCGCTAGGGTTAAAGGTCACTCAGTGCAACCCCTCTCCTGTCCCCGAGCAGTAAGCAGGGCGATGCTGAGAACAAGTGCAGTACTGCATGAGATTCAAACAGAAGGGCATTCAGTGTTAAAGGTCAGCTATGGCCAATAGTTGCCTGGGTAAATGCCATTATCCAGCGTGTAGCTCTCCGGGTGAGGAAATGTCTATTTTTCAGTTTTGTTGCTCTCTGTTGCTGCTGGTTTTGTCTGCACTTGGTTAAAGCTGAACTTGGCCTTGAGTCCTTTGGTAGTAGCACGCATAATCTCCATCAGCCCTTTGTCCAGCAAGTAGCCCTCAGAGTCACACTCAGGGTTCTCCTGGCCAACGACAGCCTCTGTTGCGATACTGAGGTAACGCAGTCCAGTCAACACACCGAGCTACACACACGCACACAAAATAAACAAGATCCCAAAAATCAGACAGCCACAGTACAGTAGGAAAATCAGCAAGGTCATTCGAGAGGCTGGGATCTAGTCAGTTTCAATTTAAGGTAATCTGATGGCATGCAGCAGTAATCAAGTGGGGTTTATTACGGATTAAACAGCACCATTTGTTTGCGATATGGTCAGATAGGATCTCTGCAAGGTCAGGAGCATCTCACTGAATTTCCCAGTGACTCAGATGCAGGAATGGAGACTTCCACTGGCTTGTTTACAGATGACTGTAACTTAAAGTGCATAACGAATTATGGAAATGGGGATAGAAATCGAGAGAATTATAATAGGACATAGATAGATTCAGAGTGCGGAATCCTATTTCAGCAAGTAATTAAGTAGGCAAATGGGATGCTGTCCTTTATTACGAGAGGAATTGAACATACAAATAAGGATGTTCTTTTCAGTTATACAGGACATTGGTGAGACCATTTCTCAAAATCTGTATGCAGTTTTGGTCTCCTTGTGTAAGGAATGATGTGAATGTGTTGGAGGCAGTTCAGAGAAGGTTTCCTGGATTGGTTCCTGGAATGAGCATTTTTTTTCAATCATTCCTTGTATATGGGCACTGCTGGCTGAGCCAGTATTTATTGTCTGTCCTTAGGTGCCCCTGGAGAAGGTAGTGGTTAGCTGCCTTCTTGAATCAGTATAGTCCATGTGCTATAGTGACAGCCAGAATGCTATTACTGAGGGAATTCCAGGATTTTGGCCCAGTGCCTTTGAAGGAATGGTGATATATTTCCAAATCAGGGTGGTGGGTGGCTTGGAGGGGAACTTGAGGGGGTGGTGTTCCCATGTAGCTGCTGCCCTCATCCTTCTAGATGGAAGTGGACGTGTGTTTGGAAAGTGCTGTTAAAGGGGGCTTGGAGGATATCTACAGTGACTCATTTGATGCTACACACTGCTGCTACTGAGCGTTGGTGGTGGAGGGAGTGAAATGCTTGTGGATGTGATGCCAATCAAGTGCTGCTTTGTTCTTAAAGGTGTAAAGCTTCTTGAGTGTTGTTGGAGCTGGCCCCATCCAGGGGCAAGTGGGGAGTATTCCATCCCACTCGTAGATGGTGGACAGGTTTTGGGGAGTCAAGAGGTAAATTACTTGCTGCAGGATTCCCAGTCTCTGACCTGCTCTTGAAGCCCCTGTGTTTATACGGCTGGTCCAGTTCAGTTTCTGGTTAATGGCAGATTCAGTGGTGGTAATTCCAATGAATTTCAAAGGGGGACAGTTAGATTCTCAATTGCAGAAGATGGTCAGTGCTTGGGACTTGTGTGGCCTGCATGTTATTTGCATCTCAACATCCCAAACCTGGGTATTACATTAACAGGAACAGATCTTCCTGTTGTCTTGTGAGGAAAGGTTAGACAGACTGGTTGTGTTTCCCCTGGAGTTTAGAACAGAGATGGATGACTTGACTGAAGCCATAGAGTCATACAGCATGAAGACACCCTTCGGTCCAACTTGTCTGCGCCGACCAGATATCCTAAACTGACCTACTCCCCATTTGTCAGCATTTGGCCCATGTCCCTCTGAACCCTTTAAACATAGACAGGTTAGTGTGAGTGAACAGGTGGCAGATAATATTTGAAGTAGAGTTGATATATTTTTTGTCAGGAGAATGCACCAATATGAAGATAAATTCTGAAGAGGTGTATAAGAGTTTGACACAAATCATGCAGAATGAGTGCACAGCTATGGAAGATAATCAAAACCTGCACTGAGAGGTTAATAGTAGGACTCAACTAGCAAATAGAGAGAAATAATTGCCTCTAGTAGGGGCCAGAATGAGGGAGATGGTCAGAGAGCACTGCCATATACACAGGGCAGTGGGAATCTAGAACCATCGCCCCACCAAGCCCTGCAAGAAACTGCTGCCAAAGACAGCGGTACGTTGAGAATATCTACACCGAGCTTTCAGGCAGGGCATTGAAGTTCGGTGTAGATATTGCAGGTATACAGAAAATAAAATCTTTGATGGCCAGCCAGGGCCTGAAAAGCCCCCAGAAAAGTCTGCCAGAGGTCAAATCTCCAGTTTGTGAACCTGGGAGTACAAATAGTGGTGCTTATGGAAACAGTCATTAAGGAGCAAGAATTTACATCTCACCAGCTCACTTTGAGAAGTGGAATTCAATCTTTGAAAGTGTGACGAGTAAAATGACCCATGGACCTGTTGGAATTGTCAGAATGACCCAACCATGCTACATCCCTTTAGGAAGCCAATGTGGCTCACCAGATTCCATGCTTAATTCATAACTGCTCTCTGACACTGGGTCAAAGACACTTAGGTGGATAGGCATTAAATGCCACCCTTACCAGTAATAGCCATGCCGTGGTAATAATTGGAAGAAAATCTGTAAACGTCATTGTGACTGAGTGACTGAATGGATAGACTTGTCTGTGACCTTTACCCCTCCCTCACCCAAACCCACCCTGTGATGAATATTCATCTCAAACAGCAAGAATTTCAGAAACCCATGATCACTCTGGATTACCTGCCGAACAAGATCTCACCTACACCAGTCGTCATCCCTCACTTTTCTAAACCCCAGTGGCAGCAAGCCCAGTCTGTCCAACCTTTCCTCACAAGACAACCCACTCATTCCAGGTATCATTCCAGAAAACCACCTTCAGTCTATTCACATCCTTCCTTAAATAAGGAGACCAAAACTGCATACAGTATTCAAGATGTGGCCTCACCTCTGCCCTGTATAACTGAAGCATAACATCCGCACTTTTACATTCAATTCCCCTCACAATCTGCCTTCTGAAATACGAGAACAGAAATTGCTGGAAAGGCTCAGAAGGTCTGGCATCTCAGCACATGTGGACAGAAATCAGAGTTAACATTTAGCTTCAGAGACCCTCCCTCAGAACCCTGCCCTGCCTTCTAAAGTACTTGCTGCTCCTGCACACTAAGGTTTTGTGTCTCAAACACTAGAACATTTAGATCCCTCTGCACCTTGGTATTCTGCAGTCATTCTCTGTTTAGGAAGCACTCTGCTTTTGTTATCCTTCCTGCCCTCAACACCCCACCACCATTCCCCCCCACCCACCAGACATACCCAACTGTTGGCCAAACGTACTCTCATTGGGAGTAAGACAGTCAATGAGACTTCAACATTGCATTGTAAGATTTGGAAAGCTTTCCCTTGTCTTATCCTGTGGTTCCATCTGAAGCAAGATCCAGAAATGGGTCACCCTCTTATCCTTATGACAAAGCCCCACCTGTCAGCTGCCAGGCTTGGAATGACCACAGTGAGAGTGGTCCTTTCTGCACTGGTTCAGAACAAGCCAGGGCCCCTACGCAGCCAAGCTCTATCACTATCACCAGCATCAGTTCCCGAACAAGGGGAGCTGCACCCGAAACATTAACCCTGTGTCTCTCTCCACAGATGTTGCCAGACCTGCTGAGGGTCTCCAGCTATTTCTGTTTTCGTTTGTCTGTATCACTGGGGCCTCGGTACAAATCCCTTGTGGAGAGACACAGACAGCTCTTCACATTACTGAGAGATCCCTCTACAACTTAGTCACAGAGTAATGACGTTAAACCCAGCAAGTGGGGAGGGGATCACTTGGTTCTAGGTATTTGTATTCATTAATGACAGTAAATACGGCCAGTGGCAAAGCATGATGGGGGAGAGGTCAGCATGCCAGAGGTGGACAACAAGAGTGCAAGCATCCAGGGAATAGATCCTCACAGTGCCAGTCTTCTCCTGGGGGATAAGACATGGGTACAGAGGTAGGCCATTTGGCCTATCAAGTCCAACCTGCCATTCAAAGAGATCATGGCTGATCCTCCATTCCTCTTCCAGGTGATGGTGCCGCTATTCACTACCCCAGGGGAAAGCAAAACTCTGATGGACAGTGTGTGAGGATGTGGCCTGGCTACACAGGGGAGGGCAGCTCTTACCTGTGTGACATAGCAGAGCAGCACGCTGGTCCCAATGGTCGCCATCATCCCTGTGTAGTAACTGAGCAGAGCCTCTCGACATCCTGTCATCCACAAGTTCAGTTCCTCTGTCTGAAATTCGTAGTTGAAATGTGCAGAGTTATTGGTGATCTGACGCTGAATACAGGGCCGGGGAGAGTTTGGGTTGCAGCAACTGAAGGGGACGCCATCGATCAGGTACCTGCCATCCACGTTGCTCTTAATGCGACTGGAAACATATCCAAAAATGTTAGATCATGTGGAGGGAGGGCCTACTCATTATACAGACTTACATAGGATAGATCACCCCCCACCCCCCCGCTCCCCGTAGCAGGCCGTTCACCCCACCCACCCCTTGCTGGTGTGTGTGCTCCTCCCATTTTTCATTGTGTAAACTTACCATAGAGCCCTATCCTCCTTTCTCCCTCACTTACCATACAGCCCTGTCCTCCTTTCTCCCTCACTTACCATAGAGCCCTGTCCTCCTTTCTCCCTCACTTACCATAGAGCCTGTCCTTCTTTCTCCCTCACTTACCATAGAGCCCTGTCCTCCTTTCTCC